GATTTTAGAACATCAATTTGTTTTGTTGGCATCATTGGACAATAGGTCAGGAGGACCATCCCCGGATTCCTAATTATAAAACAAACATGATAAAAATATTAATAGTGTTCAGTCAGAGATTAGCAAAAAGGAAAGTAGGAAGAATTTGTGACTCTCCTCAGTTTTGACCCCTGCCTTGACCTGAGATTTGATAACGCCACACACAGGATGGACAGTAGTTATGGAATGCTTACTTTAAATAAAATGCTGGGCTAAACACCAGTTTCCATGGATCATTTCCTTTAGTCCTTGCTGTAACCTAACAAATAGGCAGTATTACTGGGCCTCGCATATTACAGATCAGGAAACTGAAGCTCAGAGAGATTAAGACCTTTTTGTGAGGTTACAGACCCAATAAATAGTTGAGCAGATATTTCAGCCAAGGCCAATAAATGGTCAGAATCAATCCTGAAGTTGATCAACAACTTCAGGATGCTTAACCACCAAATCAGCACCGTAAGACTGACATACCATTAGAATTTCACTATCACAATGTTTACATGATTGGCAAGCAAAACTACAGCCTGTGGGTCACAAATGTGTCCATGTGTTTACATTTTGTCTTTAGTCTCTTCCCCAAGACAACATCAGAGTTAAATAGTTGCAAAAAAGTCTGTATGACCCACAAAGCTTAAAATATTTGCTATCTGACCTTTACAAACAAATCTGTCAGTACCTGGTTTATATTCTTTTCCCTGGGAGGTATTCTAAACTCTTTGCCTCAGCAATTCAGAGGAGAGAGAACTACAGTTTTTCCTACAGAATAGGAAGATGATCTAGGCCATAAATGGTTAATTGCTGGTCTGTGGATCACTTAAACAGTTCAAGAATGGGATTTAGAGAAATCCTGAGCTGGATGCAAAAGGAAATATGTTTGTCTCTGTCTTTCTAGGGATACTGAAGATTAAGAGAGGGAAGAGGCTTCAATCTAATCAAATCATGTTATTATGGCATTTATTTACTTTAAACCAATGTAGGGTTCTGGGCTGTTACTAGGCCCAACCAGAGTTATGCAGTGATCCACCTACCACATCAGGACATAAAACAGTTTCTTATTTTAAGAATTAAAACATGCCTTGCAACTATGATCATAAATCTTTCTCTCTCTCTATTTACACTTGAGCTAGCTTAGGTGAAAAACAACATAAAATATAGGTATGGCAAAGTTTATGCACCCTTTGATTTTTATACCAGATTTGGGTTCAAATCTTGGCTTCTGTAAAGGCTATTTCAGCTTAGACAATTTGCCTTGTCCACATCTCTGATGAGGCACGAGTACTGGGTTCTTGTGCTTTTTATGCATATGGTTCTTGCTGATAGAAGAACAAAGTTTTGGCCAGGCACAGTGGCTCATGTCTGTAATCCCAGCACTCTGAGAGGCCGAGGAGTAGAGACCACCCTGGACAACATAGTGATACTGGTCTCTACAAATCATAAAAAAAAAATATTAACCAGATGTGGTGGCACACGCCTATAGTCCCATCTTCTTGGTAGGCTGAGGTGAGAAGACTGCTTGAGTCTGGGAGGTCAAGGCCGCAGTGAGCCATGATCACACCACTACACTCCGACCTGGGTGACAGAGTAAGACTTTGTCCCCAAAATAAATAAATAAATAAAATAAAACTGTGTAGGAACACTGTATCTGTATAAAATTGTGCAGGAACACTATCTGTATCTACTAAAAATACATCACATAGTGGGATCTTTTGTGTGAAAGGAGGCCTCAGCTGGAAAGGCTAGAGCTTGACAAAATTTGTATTTTCTCCAACACAAAGTTCTATCTTAAGATATTCTGTAAGATTGCTCATGGAATGGCCATGACCAAACCATCTCAGCTAATTAGAGAGGTCTCAGTGAGGCCATATGTTTTAGGAATGTTCTATGGGTTTATTTTCTGGAACAGGGGGGAAGATGGAGTCTTTGCCAAGGGCATCACCATCTCTAGAATTATTGCAAATTTTTCTTACTCAACTCAGACAGCTCCTGTTTTGGGCCATTATGGCTAATTTAGGTTTTACTCCTCTTTTAATACTCAGCTCAGACCTGCAAGAGAACAACCCTTGACGGCTTGAGTTGGTCTTAGTCACCTACCCACCTGCCTGTACTTACATAGTGCTGTGAGTTTAACACTACATTACAATGAAATGTGCTCATGTGTCTGCCTTCCATGCAGAGTCCCAGCTCCTCTATGCACACTCTCTCTCTCTTTCATCCTAGAACACACTGCACAGTAATAATCTGGAAACCTTACACAGCGTTGCCCACATGCCAGAAACTGTCCTATGTATCTTTCACATACTATTTTATTCTTATACTATACTCAGGAGACAAAAACCAGTATTCTAGATAATAAAATGAAGAAACTACGGCACAGAGTGGTTAAGTAACTTGCCTAAGGTCACACAGCTATTCAATGGTAGAACTTGGAGCAGAGCCAGAAAGTCTAACTCTAGACCCCATACTCAACCGCTAACCTCAGCGTGCCTCCCTCATGGATTCTCAGCAAATGTTTGTTTGACTGATCTGAACATTACTTAGCACAGATGAATTCATAAAAACATCTGGTCTAGCCTTGAAGGAAAAAGAACAGTCTTTTTTTTTTTTTCTTTTTTTTTTGAGACAGAGTTTCGCTTTCACTGCCCAGAGTGGAGTGCAATGGGCTCATCTCGGCTTACTGCAACCTCCACCTCCTGGGGTCAAGGAATTCTGCTTTAGCCTCCGAGTAGCTGGGATTACAGGTATGTGCCACCACGCCTGGCTAGGAACAGTTTTAATAGTCTTTTAAAGTCTCAGATTCTTAAAAGTTTTATCAGGACATAGATAAATGATAATAGGCAAAGATTTCTAGAAAATATCAATAGCTTTGATTTGCACATTACAAAAAATTCCATTTGACCACCAAAGGCCTCTTCAGTTACAAAATCACTTTAAGCACATATGTTGTTGTGTTTTAGACATCAATTGATAAGATACTCACTACATACTTCCATCTAAAAGAATAGAAGCTCCAGATTCAAGGTCAATCAGCTATCTTTTCTTTTTTTACATTGTTGAGATTAGCTGTAAAGGGTTTGAGTACTAAGCCTGCCACAATCCATTCCCAAAGCTACTCTGATTAAGCCGTCAACATCATTAGAAAATACAACCACTATTAGTACCTTTATTCAGGCAAAAGGTTTAACACAGAGCAGAATTGTTTTAAAGTTTCTCATTAAAAGCTCTGACTATTGAAAGAGAAAGGAAGAAAAAATTATGACAACAGAGACTCGGAGGAAGTTACATTACTGAACTTCAATACCCCTGTGTTTACAGAATAACCTTAATTAGCATAAGGCAGAAGGAAGAAATGTGTCTGTTGTGATCTGTGAGAATTGTGTTGAATAGAAAGGGTATGACAGAGACTTAACAGAATCTGATACCGAAGAGTGGTTTTGCAGATCTGTGTGGAAAAAAAAGATACATTAAAAAAAGTCCACACAAAAACTTCTATATTGCAACGGCTCCTTACGATACACGCTGAAAGGATCATAACAATGATCATGACAATGATACGTAATAATAAATAAAATAATAGGATATGCATGCCAAACTGACTTTTTGTTTCATATTTTTAAAAATGTTAAATTGCCAAGTACATATTTGGTAATTTAACATTTTAAAAATATGACACAAAAAATACATTATTTAAAAATAATAGAAGAGTGCAGGAAACCTCTGTCTTATTTGTTCATTTACTCGTTCATTTATTTTTGGCAGCCCAGAGACTATTCCCCCTTCTTACGGTGCTTGGATTTCCTGCTAGGAAACTCCCTTTTGCCTCACTTTGAGAAGTCTGGGCGTAATCCCAAGAGGCTCTGCCTGCCTTAACTCCCTCCGTGGAACTCAGAGGTGGCTTCTTGGTCAGATCAGTCATCTCAGTGTTCTGCTTGGGATAAGGGGTAGGCGTGTTACCTAATCTTATGTTCAACCAGAAAACTTTCTTTTTCTAGGACTTTGATGTGTAGATTCAAAAAACTGGTGTTAAGTTTACCTGTTTGTTTCTGAGAGGGTGCTCAAGACGAATTGTCCAGATGCCGCTTTCCTGCCTCAGGCATGCGCATTCTTCACTTCCTTTCAATTCTGTGTGCTTTCCTAGCGTCTTCCAGCAGTTTCCCCTTTTCTTAAGTGATATCAACTCTGCTTCAATTGTTTGCCCCCAAAGAATAAGTGTTGCGCACCAGCTAATCAGGGAACCAAGTAAAAATCATGCTGACTAAATTGACCAATTAGGTCGTAAGTGAGGACAGAAGCTTAGAAGAGGCCCAAACTGGGGATTCCTGGGGGACTGGGCAAATATTGTTGGGGTGTCAGGTGTGGCAGTGCCAAGAGAGCCAGGTGAAGGTCTCCAGGGCTGTGGCATTTAGTGAGGCTAAACCCCAGAAGCACAGCATCATGAGTGGCAGTCTCAAAGAATGTTCAAAATTAATGTTCAAAATAAAGCAACTAGGTCACAGATCACAACGTAGCATGCTGAAATATTCTAAAGAAAGATACTGCATTTCTCTTCCCTCTGGCTATGTGCTCACCTTTCCCATGCACTTGACTGAACAATGAAATTAGGCTTATCAGTTTCATTTTGTTTATAGCTGATTTTACAGCCCAGCTCATCATTAAAACTGTTTCCATCTGAATTCACAGACTCAAAAACTTTCCCAGGAGCCTTCTTTTCATAAATTCACTTAAAATGAGCTGATGTTAAGTCTTATATATAATTTTTAAAATGCTCCTGTTAAGTTTTATATATCATTTTTAAAATCTAAAGTTAAAATCCCACATAAAATCCCATCTTCCATTTAAAACTTTATTATAGACAATTTTCCTTAGTAAATACTGCCAGGCCCATGTTACCTCATCTGTTTGGAAACAATTTGTAAGCAAAGAAATAAAGAGGAAGATATTTACTTTGATCTGTCTAGTCATACCTGAATAGGGACTCTCTTGACAGCCAAATTTCATTCTGTTTCACAGTTTTCCAAGAGAAAAGCAACAGCAGCAACACAGTGGACACAATCAGGGAGGTGGCCCCACATCGATTCAGCCAAGTGCAGAGCTTGCTCAGTCCGTGCACAAAAAGGATGCAGTAGCCCATGCTGGAAAACAGGGTGGAAGGAAAAGGATTACTTTGGGGGTGCAAGGGGTTCCCGCCAACATTATCTCCTACATAACTTTCAAATAAAGCTTGTCCTGTGCTAGAGAAACAAATATAAACTCCCCTGCCTTGGACAACATTAACGTGCTGGTTCTCTAAAGCGCTGCACTAGCATGTTTGCTATTTCTTGTAGAAATATTTCTTGCTATTTCTTCAGTGTAGAGAATGATAGAGTCATCTTGTAGGCTCAAAGTGCCCTGGATTTCAGCAGCTCAGGCATCATGAGAAGTCCCACATATAAGCCTCGGGTCCTGAATGGATTCTCTGATCCAAACTTCCTCATGTCACCGTCATTGTATAACCCTATTGCCACCATGTGTCCAAATCTGGAGTCTTGCTCCAGCAGGTCACATCACAGCTTTGTAGGGACAGTGTCTGAAAGCTCTGTGTCAGGTCCTGGAAGAAATGCTGGTCACCCAGGAGGACTGTTTTCTGTTTCCAGGGCCAGCTGAAGCCCTTACACTTTGGAAAATATACCCACAGCGTGACTCCTGAACTTCACAACTTGGAGCTCATCGCAGACAAGCTGTATTGACACGCCTAGCTTCACCAGTAGACACAGGGTTCACGTGTTACCTGAGTAGCACTTTGCATATCAGCATTACGTCTCTAAAAGCCTTTGGCTTCGTGCTACATGGTCCCTCACATCATCTCTGTGCCCAAAGAGATGTTTCCCGCCTGCCACTTGGACATAGAAGAATATAAGTTCTAGTTCTATATATGTACCCATTATTGCTATGTGTGGGGGCTCACTGCATGATCATGGCTCACTGCAGCCTCAACCTTCTGGGATCAAGTGATCCTCTCTCCTCAGCCTCCCCAGTAGTTGGGAACATAGGCATTTGCCAACTAACACCCAACTAATTTTTGTATTTTACTGTAGAGATGAGGTTTCACTATATTGCCCAGGCTGGCCTCAAACTCTTAGGCTAAAGCGATCCACCTGCCTTGGCCTCCCAAAGTACTGAGATTACAGGTGTGATTCTTTCCAAAAATGATAACCACAAATTATTACAGACTATCTTAAGAAAGAAGCAAGCTTGTGTAAAGACATCCTATATTAAAACTATTACTATTGGAAGTATTAATACAGCTCCAAGTAAATATGGCCCTATAAATGTTCTATTATTTATTCATTCTTTCTTTTATGTGGCTGGCAATATTCTAGGCACTAAACATGTATTTATAGTAAAACACAGGCCCCACGATCAAACAACTCCAGTCTAGTGAATCAGGTTGCTCTAGTTAATAGAAACAACTAAATATTCTCATTCCTAAACACACCTCCTTAAAAAACTTTTTTCTCCACCTTCTGTTCTCTGTATCAATAGCAGAAAAACAAGAGAGAAGCATCTGAGGTTTCTGACTTGGGAGACCCTGGGAATAAAGATGAAACTCTAATTTCTTTCTTCAAGTCCCATAAGTTGGTTAGCACAGCTCTATCAAGTTTAGGGTTCACTGTCTGTCCAAAGAGAGTCAACATCCTACTCCCCATTGAGGAGGATGATTTGAGTAAGGAGACCCATGTTCCCCTTACCACAAGCATTGGATTTGATTGCTACAGATATCTTGCAAGAGCCTTGCATTTGTCAGAACAGAGTCTCTAATGTAAGAGCAAAAACCCAAACCAAAAACCTATGCTTACTTCCACAACTCTCTTGTTCAATGACAGTTGGAGGCATGGAGCTTTTCTATAAATCTTATTTATATTGTACAACTGACCTTGCTGGTGTCATTTACTTGCCTGACCACAATGGCTAGTCAAGTTCATGAGCTGCTTGCCCCCTGTTCCTCTAACCCCAGATGCTCCCAACCCAAACCGAGCAGGGCACTCCATGAAGCCCTCTGGGCTCTGTTCTTTCATTTATCAAATTTAACAAACATTTTACTGTGTACCTAACGCTGTTATAGATATCAAGAACATATCAGTGAACAAAAGAGACAATAATCCTTATCCTTGCAGAATGCACATGGGTGGGGAATGATAGTTAGCAACTAAGTAAAAAAAAAAATAGGGCATGTACATGGTGATATGTTACATGGAGAAAAATCAAGGGAAGGAGGAGGTTGAGATTTTAATGTGGGTGGTCACAGAAGTCTTCACTGACATTTGAAGAAGACCTGAAATGCATAGGGAATGTGGCACACCAATACCCACATCTCCAATGCCAGCTCTCTCCCCACTCCTGCCTACACACAGCAACACCACTAACAGCTAACATTTGTGGGGCCTCTCTTCTGTGACAAACACTTTATATATTTGATTTCAGTATATCCTTAAAACCCTATGGATCACCTTTATTAATGTTTAACCCATGAAAACACTAAAGAAAAGGAAGGTTAACTGACTTGCTGATTTAAGTCTATGATAGTGTTAGGTCTTGGGACCTCAATTCACTATTCCAAAAGGAAAAAAAAATTAAGTTGAAAGCTGAATCATGCAAGAAACTACCTTTCCTTTTGTTCCTAAGCAGTTAGCTACAGATAAAAGCTTTACTATCTCCACACACAGCTACTCTAGGTTCACCCTATCTTATGTAAAGTGCTGATGTACTGAGCATGGGAAGAATACATAATTGACTATTCCCCTACCTGCTTCATTTCTCTGCCAACATGTGGATTCAGTCATGTGACCATACAGTCCCACTTTCCCCTCCAGCCTACTTTTTCCCCTTTAAATACTAACGAACTCAAAATCATCTTTGGAGAAAGGCACAGGCTGCAGATTGTTTCTGTGATTCCATGTTCCTTTCTTCCAGGCATGTCCTTAATCTTGGCAAAATAAACCTCTAAATTGATTGAGACCTGGCTCAGATACTTTTTGGTTTACAGGTCACCCATCTAGTAAATAATAGGGCAAAGATACAAACCCAGGAATTTCAGATTCCAGAGCCCACACTGCATGTGCTGTCCTGCTGCAGGGGATTTGACTTGGCTAGCTGATTCTTGGTTCCTAACACCTCATCACACAATATCACCTACTTTCTTCCTGACTACTGCATTCATGACATCTCAATAGTCATTTTTTGCCTCCTTATAGGAACAGAGCTACCATCTGGCAGAACAAAGGTTTTATAATGAATCCCAAGTTTATCTTCAAAGAATCAGTATGTCAGTATGTTCAGCTCTTTTATTATTTAATCCTTTATTTTAAAGTTTTAACTTCCTTGTAATTCCAATAAACAACCTTCTCCACCAATTCTAATCAGTAGTTCACATCTGTTCCCCCAGCCCCTGGTTCCATCCTGACTCATCCCAGTCACCTGCACCAGTCACCTTCTTTGACCTAGGTTAAAGGCCTGACTACCTGCTCTGACCTGCCCATAATCATCCTCCCCACCAAAACACCCACTCTACCATTCCAGCTTGGACCAATCGAGATTAGACTAGCTTATGCGGTCTAACTCTAGCCAATCGGGGAACAATACAGCAGTAGGGATGACCCCCGTCAGGCACAAGTACCTCCTCCCTGCTTGTCCAAGCGTGCGGCCACGATTGCTCTATCCATGAGCCGCACGCTTCTATAGCAGTAAACTGCCTTGCTGAGAGGATTTATCTTCAAGTGCTATTTCTTTTGTGGCATTGAAATTTTACTTATAACAAAGTGGAAGGAGAACATGGGGATTACAGCAACTTCACAGCAATGGTCACAAAGTGGCAGAAGAATAATGAAGCTAGCAATGCAAACATTCAGCTGCATTATATGTTTGTGTGTCTAGTGACAGCTTCCTGTTGTGGTAGGCACTTTGCTAAATGCTTTGTATGGGCCTGTCCACAATATCTTCAGGCCATGTGGCAAGGATGGTACTGGTTTTAAATATTTTATCTAATTAAAAATTTTAATCCTCAGTATCCTCCATTTTGTAAATGAGAAAACTAAAGCTTAAAAGAGTTGAGTAACTTGCCCACAGCCCCAGAAGCTAGGAATAGGGTCAGATCTGGAGGCTCGGTGCCCTAATGCTGTGCTTGAAGAAGAAAATTAAATAATAGTAATAATAGTAAAACAAACTCTTATAACTATAGTTGCTATATAATAAATTTTGCTGTGTTGTGTGCTGTTTAAAATAATTCCTTCCCAGCTCTGTTTAAGGCAAAATATTAAACTGCCTTCCTGCAAACCATGTAACCCTCATCTATCCTCTCCACATTCTTAGCAAAGTTCCCAGGCATCTAAAAATTCCTGTTTTTCTTGCTGACCTGCTGCAAGGTCACAGAGCAGATAAAAACTCTGGAGTGTGTTTCTCAAGATGTTACTTTTCAACATCACAAAACATGTTACAAATTAATTAACTGTTCTTTGTTCTGGCTTCTGTAAACGTGTTTGCTGCTGCATTATCCTAGGTGTATAAAAGGTACCCTATTTTCTTTGTCATTTGCTCAGTTTTCAAATGCGAATCCACTAAATTGATGTATCTAAATAAAATCCTTCCGTTTTACCCATTAGTCTCTCCGGTCTCCTAATATCTGCAACATGCTATAATTTAGGCCTTGGCAAACTTTTTCTGTCAAGGGCCAGACAGTAATAATTCAGGCTTTTCAGCCCATTCAGTCTTTGTTGTTAGTATTCAACTCTGTCTTTGTAGCAGGAAAACAGCCATCCACACCATGTAAACAAATGAGCATGAATGTGTACCAGTAAAATTTACCTATAAAAACAGGCAGTAGACCACATTGGGCTCATGTGCCATATCTTGTAAGAAAAAAACAAAACAAAACTCTTTAATCTGAGGAATGAAGTCCTTTTAATTATCAGGCCCAGAGAGGCATTAAAATGAGACTGCAATCACATCCTATTTCCCTCTTTGAGCTATGTATTCATCTTTTGAATCTGCTTGTTATTGTCACAAGTGGCTATAAAGTAACTTAATAACATCACACAAGATACTATAACCCCCACCTTACAGCTTAACAATGGATAGCCAATCACTAATCAATGTTATT